TTGCATTTATTTACATTCCCTTTGATCGTGCAGAGGTATCGTTAACTGTTCAATCCCCTATACCTTCTCGCTTCCCTTATTTCTATCTCTTCAATTTCATCCTCTTGCTTACTGACCTTTTCTCTCTTCTTCCACCCATGAATCACAGTAGTTTCCTAAGGCATTGATGCTTTCTATGTACAAGATTATATGGCCATTTTTGATGATGAGGTTAAGGTAACTGTTAATATCCCTAACTACAATAAGATAATGTCAGCTATGTAATTAACACTGTCTATGTCTTTGTAATTTCTCTACAAAAACAAATGAATACTGACTTGCTTGAAGGTACCCGTTTTGCAGTTGTTTAGTTTTATTTTGCTGGTTAAGTTGGAGAAAGTTTATCTTGGAGGAATTTTACAGGATCACAGCTCATATCAAGTCAGTGAAACCATCAATCTACATTACAGATATTAGAATATTTCATTAGCCTTTGAAATTAAGATGACTCTAAGGATGGTGTCACAATCACGTACCTAGTGTAGCCGAGGAGACCTTGAATCCTTCCCACATAATGTACACGTCAAAATCTGACTTAAGTTTGTAGACACAAATTGTTCAAAAATATTCTAGAAAATTGAAGCTCTATGTTTCAAGTCTACACAAAGATTGTTCTTAGAAGGAATCTCTCATCTCTGATTCAGTAGTCACTAGTGCCTACCATTATTCTATCAGGTAATGTATCTGATGTTGGCTAACACTGAAATAGTTCCCATTCAAATTTTTATACCCCATTCAAAATAGCTGAAACTGTAGTTGGGATATATGGTTGCTAGGTGGAGGTGGTTGCTTTGAGGCTCATGAGCTTAGAGTCTGAACAAATCTGTGTCCTTATCAAAGGTCTAAACCAGAGCTATCCAACAGAACTTTTGGTGAAGGTAAAATTGGTTTTCTACACTGTCCCATAAGATAGCCATGAGCCACATGTGGCTATTGAGTGGCTTTTGTGACTAAAGAACTGACATTAAATGATACATATATTTTTAAAGACTTTATTTTTTAGAGCAGTTTTAGCTTCACAGCAAAACTGTGAGGAAGGTGCAGAAAGATCCCATATACCCCATTCCCCCACATATGTACAGCCTCTCCATTATCAACAACCCCCACCAAAGCGGTACATTTGTTACAACTGATACACTTACATTAACACGTCAGAAGCACCCAAAGTCCGTAGTTACATAATGGCTCACTCTTGGTGTTGTACCTTCTACTGATGTGAACAAATGTGTAATGACAAGTATCCATCATTGTAGTAACATACAGAGCATTCTCACCATCCTAAAAAGCCTCTGTGTTTTACCTGTTCATCCCTCTTCCCTTCCCAAACACTGGCAACCACCGATCTTTTTACTGCCTTCATAGTTTTGCTTTTTCCATGTCATGTAGTTGGAATCATACAGTATGCAGACTTTTCAGATTGACTTCTTTCACTTAGTAATATGTGTTTGTTTTCTCCATGTCTTTTCATGACTTGATAACTCATTTCATTTTGGTGCTGAATAATATTCCATTGTCTGGATTTACCACAGTTCATTTATCCATTCACCCTTTGAAAGAAATCTTAGTTGCTTCCAAGTTTGGGCAATTATGAATAAAGATGCGATAAACATCTGTGTGCAGGTTTTGTGTGGACATAATTTTTCAGCTTCTTTGGGTAAATACCAAGGAGTGTGATTGCTAAATCATGTTAAGAGTATGTTTAATTTTGTAAGAAAGTGCCAAACTGTCTCCAAGGCAGCTGTACCAACTTGCATTCCCATCAACGAATGAGGATTCCTGTTGCTCCACATCCTAGTCAGCATTTGGTGTTGTCAGCATTCCAGATTTTGGCCATTCTGATAGGTGTGTAGCAGTATCTTGCTGTTTAAATTTACATTTCTTTGATGACATATGATATGAAGCAACTTTTCATATGCTGCTTTGTCATCTGTGTATCTACTTTGGTGAGGTGTCTGTTAAAGCCTTTGGCCCATTTTTTCCATCTGGTTGTTTATTTTCTTATGGTTGAATGTTAAGACTTCTTTCTATCTTTTGGAAAATAGTCTTTTATCATATGTGTCTTTTGTAAATATTTACTCCCATCCTGTGGCTTTCCTTCTGTTCTCTTGATATGGACTTTTGCAGAGCAGTTTTAAATTTTAATGAAGTCCAGCTTATCAATTATTTCTTTTATGCATTGTGCCTTTGTTGTTGTATCTAAAAAGTTATTGACATACCAGAAGTCATCTAAATTTTCTCCTGTTATCTCCTAGGAGTTTTATAGTTGTATTCTACATTTAGGTCTGTGATCCATTTTCAGTTAATTTTTATGAAGGGTGTAAGGTCTATGTCTAGATTAATTTTTTTTTGCATGTGAATGTCTAGTTGTTCCAGTACTATTTGTTGAAAAGACTGTATTTGCTCCATTGTATTACATTTTGTTCCTTTGTGGAAGATTAGCTGACTATACTTACGTCAGTTTATTTCTGGGATCTCTATTCTGTTTCATTGATCTGTTTGTCTATTCTTTCACCAATGGCACACTGTCTTGATTACTGTAGCTTTGTAATAAGTCTTAAATTCAGGTAGTGTCAGTCCTTCAAATTTGATTTTCTCCTTTAATACCACGTTGACTATTCTGGGTCTTTTGACTCTCCATATAAACTTCAGAAACAGCTTGTTTATACCCACAAGGTTACTTGCTGGGATTTTGATTGGGATTGCATTGCATCTACAGATCTATTTGGGAAGAATTGACATCTTGATGATACTGAGTGTTCCTATCCACGAATATGGACTATCTCTCCCTTTATTTAGTTCTTCTTTGATTTCATTCATTAGAGTTTGTAGTTTTCCTCACGTAGATCTTATACATATTTCATTAGATTTATACCTAAGTATTTCATTTGGGGGCTTGCTAATGAAAACAATATTGTGTTTTCAATTTCAAGTTCCACTTGTTCATTGCTGGTATAATCTTCATTTTAATTAACTTAAATTTAAACAGCTTCATCTGTCTGGTGGCTATCCTTTTAGTCAGCACAAGCCATCTCTACAAAGTACAATCATGAATTCTTCCTTTTTTAGGAATTATTCCCTTTTTAGGAATAAATGTAAATGTTACTACTGTACCAAAATGTAGTGCTGCACCAAAACATTTACACTGACTTACTCATTTAACATTTATGGAATATACCAGGCAGTATGTACCAGTTGTCATCCTAAATGCTAAAGAGCATCTAGGAGCTCACTGAAGAGCTCAGACTACTGAGAGATGTAGTGAGTAAAAATTACAATATAATTTTGCTTGCTGCTAGAGACATCTGAATAGAGAATTGTGGGGACACAGCAAATGAAACAATTGCAGGAATTTAAAAAGTTTCATTGAAGAGTTTTATTTAAGCTGGGATGTCATGGAAGAAAAAACTAAAAAATAAATGTGAGTAGAAGAGAGTGAAGAAGAGGACAGGCATTCCAGAAAAGACATGAAGTCCTGAAAAGGCTTGGTGTATGTAGGACACAGTGTGCTACTCCACATGTGGTATGCAGCCACAGAGGATGCTGCTGGAAAGTAGACTCCATGATGATCGTGAGTCTTACATGATCAGTAAGAAGTCTGGATATCAAGTAGTCACATAGTTCATTATACTTCCCCTATTGTTATAAATTTCATACTTTATATTAAATGCCTTTTTAAAAATCTGCTTCCTTAGATTTTCAAGCTGTTTATGGCAAGATCACGTCTGCCTTATCCACCACTGTACTCTATGGCATCTGGTAATCAATAAGTATTTGTTACATGAATGAATGTTTCTGCTTGTTCTGAAACTTGATGTTCTGAAACTTGATGCCCTTTGGGACCACATCACCTACTCTATTCCAAGTTACCTCTTTAATGTCCGGTGTTCCACCTCTCAGTTTGCAACCACATTGCCCAACAGTTTGCTTGTTTGGTGGCAGTACTTAGTGACAGGTTTTATTACTGTTTTCTGCATTTTAAATAAAGCTGGGTACTTTACTAGACAAGAACATTTGTGGCATTGGCTTTGAGTGACCCAGAATGAGATACTGAGATGGGAAAGTAACTGAAATAACTCCCCTCCACCAACTCTATAGGGCATATAGTTAAAAGGAATTATATATGTATAGTATATACATTTTTTAAAAAATGAAGAGTGGGGTATAAAAGTAAAACGGATCAAGAAAGGTACTCCAGAGTAACTACCTACTTCTTACCGATTTCAATGTAGGGGAAAGCAAAACAAATGTGCTCCTTGTTTCTTCCATTCCATCCATAGCCATATACATTTACTACCTTATGTTTATATGTCTTCATTATTTGATGGAGCTAATCCTCCCCGTAAGAGAAATCGGAAAGGCTCTAGACTACATGAAAGCAGTTCCCAACATTTATGGTACCCAAATTATTCATATTTGTGCGAAAAGAAAAAAAGTAATTATCCAACAGGTTCAAAGCTTTGAGCCCAAGTAAAAATAAGCATGATTCCCTATACAAATGAGATTGCCCTTCCTTAATAGCTAGAGAAGAGGGGATGCTAACTGCAGGCCCCGGCACATCTCCTCCCCGCCCCCCCTCCCAAAAATAAAACAAAGGGAGGGCAGAAAAAACAAAAAGAAGAGTGGTTAATTTGATTATCACTGCGCCAAAACATTAGGGATAATGCAAACAAAGACCTAAAGTAACACTTTATTAACTTGTCTTTCCTGCAACCCATCCGCGGCCGGGCAGAGACCTCGCGGCCTAGCTCTCAGCAGTTCCCGCCAGGCTTCCATAGCCAAGGACAAACCTCCCGCGCGGGGTGGGCGGGGCTGAGGCCTTTCGGGCCCCGCCCACGCCTGCGCCGGCCGCACGCGTTTCGTAGCTGCGTCGGGGAGGGGTCTCTTGTCCCTCTGCGCGGCCCGTTCCGCCCCAGCTCCCGTGGCTTTTCGGCTGACGTGTCTACTGTTGGTCGGCTGCTTGGCGAGTAGGGCCGAGATGGCGGACGCTTGGGAAGAGATTAGGCGGTTGGCGGCGGACTTCCAGCGGGCGCAGTTCGCAGAGGCCACGCAGAGGTGCCTGACCCTCCCTCTCCATTGTGGAGTCCAAAATAGCCCCTGGGCGGCCACGCCAAGATCTGAGGCCGCAAACCCCAGGCCTTGGACCCCGGACCGTCCCAGCCGCTGTCAGCGTTCCCGCCCCCTCCCCCACTCCCAGAACCTAGATTGCGGCTGCCAGTATAATTCTCGGCGGGAGGAGACCGAGAACATCCCCCCACCCTTTAAGCCCCAGCTAGGTGCAGGCGCAGCCTCCCCCCACGACAGCTGGGGCTGGTGACTTGGAGCTGTGTTAAGAACGTCCCTGTGACCCTTACTTAGCCGTCAGCAAGTCATTGCCTGTTATACACTTCCTGAGACTTAGAGCTTGAAAGGAGAGGCTAACCCCGAAGTACAGTACTTTGCAAATATTCTGTTGACCCCTTAAACATTTTGCCTTTTTATTCACCAGAACAGGTGTCCTAGGCCAGAGCCAGGGTCTTATCTGTCATTTTTAGGGACTCCGGACACTCATATTTCCTACAAACCCACTAACCTGTGAGCGGCGGCGGGGGGGGGGGGGTGTCCTGAAGAGCACCCTAACTCTGCTTTTTACCATTACCGAGCACGTAAAGAGCTAGCTAGTAGAACCCTTTTTTATCCGTTGACTATTCCTTGTCTTGTTCCTTCTGGGGCTGAAGACTTTAATCACTTGATGCTGTGTTTTGTATCAGTGTGAGCAAACTAGGACACTTAACGTGTTTTCCTATCTCCTGCCTACAGATGAGTTGTATGAATGAGACGATAATGCATTCGATAAAAGAAAAAAAAATTGTTTTTTTAACTGAAGCTAAAGTGAAAATTGAAATAAAAGTAGGGCAGTTTTTTCCCTTATGTAAATTACATGTCCTAATTTTTCGGATTTGAAGATTAGAAGCAGGCCTAGAAGAGAGAGCAAACTTGAAATCTGTAATAGAAAGATTTGTAACAATGAACTACATGATTTAAGTTCGTGTAAACCTGTTTACTCCCTAGAACTTTTTTTAATGTATTGAATTAGTATTATACTAATAAAAGATACAGATTTTGTAATATAGAACCTAATGACTACCCAAGCCTTTTTAAAAGCCCATTTTCATACGTTTTCTTAATCATATTATGCACTGAATGTATCAAATGCATTTTTAAAAGTTAACTTTTGTTTCCCTCAGGTTGTCAGAGCGGAATTGCATTGAGATTGTGAATAAATTGATTGCTCAGAAACAGCTAGAAGTAGTTCACACACTTGATGGGAAGGAATATATTACTCCAGCCCAAATTAGTAAAGAAATGAGAGATGAGTTACATGTTCGAGGTGGTAAGTAATTCCTTAGTTTTTTTCTTCTGGTTCTTTGGAAGGGAGGAAAAACCATTAAAACTATACATCATAAGTGATTTGGAGGTTATAGGACACTCTTTCAATTGTTAACATGGTAATCAGCCTTAATATTTTTAATAGGTTTAGGTAAACATGATCGTATAATTTAAATGAAGTCAAATATTGTCACTTTAAAAATAGCATTTTGCGGCTTCCCTGTTGGCGCAGTGGTTGAGAGTCCGCCTGCCGATGCAGGGGACATGGGTTCGTGCCCCGGTCCGGGAAGATCCCACATGCCGCTGCGGCTGGGCCCGTGAGCCATGGCCGCTGAGCCTGCGCATCCGGAGCCTGTGCTCCGCAACGGGAGAGGCCACAACAGTGAGAGGCCCGTGTACCGAACAAAAAAAAAAATAGCATTTTTTATTATTTTGGGTTATGTGTTCTGTATGTGAGTTAATCAGCTGTTTCTTTTCACAGTTCATGAATTTATTGGGTGACTCAGGGGTGGATACTTAGCTGCCTCTTACCAGGTGATAATTATGAAGAGGGAATAGAGATTTTAAAGTATAGATTGTTGAAAATCAAGGTTGTACTACCATGCTCTTTATTAAACTTTAAGTATTTGCAAATTCGGAATCAATTTAATAGGGTGCTATATCTGTTTGTAGGCAATGCTATTACAAGCATACAAAAAAGTTTTTGTTTCCTTTGTCTTTTTGAAATTTGAACAAATTACTGAGCAAATTTGAACACTTTGATTAAATTAGATGCATCTGTGAAAACAACTCATTAGATGTCATTAGATATACCCTTGGTGTTTGTTTTTTATCTTCCTGCATAGTCCTAATAAAATATTAGCTATAATTTGGAATACTTAACAGATATTCTTTAATAAGTGGTAACCTACTAGTTTCAAAGAATTGAAAACAGTTTACCTGAATTTAGTTGTATCTCTTTGGTCACAGTAGATAAAATTGCAAAGGGAGGTAAATAACCCCTGTGTGTCTGGCTAAACTGTGTATCAGCTGATTCTCTAATTGGCCTGATATGACAAATGGAACTTTGAAAATAAACTATTGTCTGTACCTTAAGTCATGAAAATTTATTCAGCTAATGGTTTGCGTTTGAAGACATTAATTACTGCAGCCCTGTGTCCTTTGTAGAAGGAGGACCTTGATGGTCCAAAACATAAATCTGTTGGAATTTACAGTTTTTGGCTGGTATGTACTTAACACATAATGTAAAATAAATGAATGTCTTTTCTTTAAAGGTCGAGTAAACATCGTTGATCTGCAACAGGTAAATTTCAACTTTATAATAGTTTTTACTTTGATTCCTCAACATTAATTTTTTCAGTGCCCTAAGTATTCACTTGGTACTGGTATTATGTTTTGTGTTTGTGAAGAAATAGTTACATAACCCTCACTGACATATATTGAATCAGTTTAATAAGTTCTTCTTTCTCAGTTGGCTTGCTTATTCTTTGTTCTTTACGAAATAAACTCATAGTTGTCATTTTATGTAATTACAGAATTTATGTAATTTTGGGAGAAAAATCACCGGTTTCCTGTTTATTTGTTTTTAATATGTGGAAGTAAAAGAAATGTAGATATTTTTAGAAAATACCGGTGTACATGTCATCAATCAGTAAGGTACACTACAGAATATACAAGAAACTGGCAAATTTTGTGTGAACTTGTTTTTTTTTAATTTTTATTTTATACTGGAGTATAGTTGATTTATAGTTTTTTTTCAGATTCTTTTCCTGTATAGGTTATTACAGAATATTGAGTACCATTCCCTGTGCTATACAGCAGGTCCTTGTTGATTATTTTATGTATAGTAATGTGTATATGTTAATCCCAAACTCCTAATTTATCCCTCCTCCTGACTTTTCCCCTTTGGTAACCATAAGTTTGTTTTCAAAGGCTCTGAGTCTGTTTCTGTTTTGTAAATAACTTCATTTGTATCATTTTTTTTTTAGATTCCTCATATAAGTGATATCATATGATAATTGACTTTCTCTGTCTGACATATTCCACTTAATGTGATAATCTCTAGGTCTGTCCATGTTGCTGCAGATGACATTATTTCATTCTTTTTTATGGCTGAGTACTATTCCATTGTATATATGTAGCACATCTTCTTTATCCATTCCTCTGTTGATGGACATTTAGGTTGTTTCCAACCTAATTGGAAGCAATTTACCTATTGTACATAGTGCTGCAATGAACATTGCCGTGCATGTATCTTTTTGAAGTATAGTATTCTCCAGATGTATGCCTAGGAGTGGGATTGCTGGATCATATGGCAACTCTATTTTTAGTTTTTTAAGGAACCTCCGTATGGTTCTCCATCGTGGTTGTACCAATATACATTCCCACCAACAGTGTAGGAGGGTTCCCTTTTCTCCATAGCCTCTCCAGCATATATTGTTTGTAGACTTTTTGATGATGGCCATTCTGAACAGTGTTAGGTGATACCTGATTGTAGTTTTGATTTGCATTCTCTAATAATTAGTGAGGTTGAGCATAGTTTCATGTTGTTTTGGCCACCTGTATGTTGATGGAGAAATGTCTGTTTAGATCTTCTGCCCATTTTTTAATTGGGTTGTTTTTTTGATATTGAATTACATGAGCTGTTTGTATATTTTGGAGATTAATCCCTTGTCACCCACTTCATTTGCAAATATTTTCTCCCATTGTGTCGATTGCCTTTTCGTTTCGTTTATGGTTTCCTTTGCTGTGCAAAACTTTTAAGTTTAGTTAGGTGCCGTATGTCTATTTTTGTTTTATTTTCATTACTCTGGGAGGTAGATCCATAAAGATATTGCTGGGAGGGAGACGCAAGAGGGAGGGGATATGGAGATATATGTATATATATAGCTGATTCACTTTGTTATACAGCAGAAACTAACACAACATTGTAAGCAATTATACTCCAATAAAGATGTTAAAAGAAAATATTGCTGCGATTTACGTCAAAGAGTGTTCTGCCTATGTTTTCCTCTATAGTATCCAGTCTTACATTGAGGTCTTTAATCCATTTTGTGTTTATTTTTGTGTATGATGTTAGAGAGTGTTCTAATTTCATTCTTTTACATATAGCTGTCCAGTATTCCCAGCATCACTTACTGAAGAGACAGTCTTTTCTCCATTGTATATTCTTGCCTCCTTTGTCATAGATGAATTGACCATAAGTGTGTGGGTTTATTTCTGGGCTTTCTGTCCTGTTCTGTTGATCTATATTTCTGTTTTTTGTGCCAGTGCCATACTGTTTTGATGACTATAACCTGTAGTATAGTCTGAAGTCAAGGAGCCTGATTCCTCCAGCTCTCTTTTTCTTTCTCTGGATTGCTTTGGCTATTCGGAGTCTTTTGTATTTCCATACAAATTGTAAAACTTTTTGTTCTAGTTTTGTGGAAAATGCCATTGGTAATTTGATAGGAATTGCATTGAATTTGTAGATTGCCTCGGGTAGTATAGTCATTTTGACGTTACTGATTCTTCCAATCCAAGAGCATGATATATCTTTCCATCTGTTTGTGTCATCTTTGATTTCTTTCATCAGTATCTTACAGCTTTCAGAGTACAGGTCTTTTGCCTCCTTAGGTAGGTTTATTCCTAGGTATTTCATTCTTTTTGATGCAATGGTATATGGGATTATACCCTTAATTTCTCGTTCTGATCTTTCATTGTCAGTGTATAGAAAAGCAAGAGATTTCTGTATGTTAGTTTTGTATCCTGCGACTTTACCAATTTCCTTGATGAGCTTTACGTATCTGGTAGCATCTTTAGGATTTTCTGTGTATAGTGTCATTTCATCCGCAAACAGTGACAGTCTTACTTCCTTTCCAATTTGGATTCCTTTTCTTTTTTCTCTGATTGCCATGGCTAGGACTTCCAAAACTATGTTGAATAAAAGTGGCTAGAGTGGACACCCTTATCTTGTTTCTGATCTCAGAGGAAATGCTTTCAGCTTTTCCCCATTTAGTATGATGCTAGCTGTAGGTTTGTCATATATGGCCTTTATTATGTTGAGGTGTGTTCCCTCTACACCCAACTTTCTGGAGAGTTTTTATCATAAATGGGTGTTGAATTTTGTCAGAAGCTTTTTCTGCATCTATTGAGATTATCATATGGTTTTTATTCTTCAGTTTTGTGATGTGTATCACACTGATTTGCGCATATTGAAAAATTCTTGCATCCTTGGGATAAATCCCACTTGATTGTGGTGTCATTTAAAGCCTATGTTTCTTCTAATGTATTGTTGGATTCGTTTGCTAGTACTTTGTTGAGGATTTTTGTGTCTATGTTCATCAGTGATATTGGCCTGTAATTTTCTTTTTTCGTGATATCTTTGTCAGGTTTTGGTATCAGGGTGAAGGTGGCCTCACAGATTGAGTTTGGGAGTGTTCCTTCCTCTGCAACTTTTTGGAAGAGTTTCTAAAGGATAGGTGTTGACTCTTCTGTAAATGTTTCATAGAATTTGCCTGTGAAGCCATCTGGTCCTGGACTTCTGTTTGTTGGAAGTTTTTAAATCACAGTTTCAACTTCGGTACTTGTGAGTGGTCTGTTCATATTTTCTGTTTCTTCCTGGTTCAGTCTTGAAAGGTTGTACCTATCTAAAAATTTGTCCATTTCTTCTAGGTTGTCCACTTTATTGACATATAGTTGCTTGTAGTAGTCTCTCATGATCCTTCATATTTCTGTGATGTCTGTTGTAACTTCTCCTTTTTCATTTCTAATTTTATTGATTTGAGACTTCTCCTTTTTTATCTTGATGAGGCTAGCTAAAGGTTTATCAATTTTGTTTATCTTTTCAAAGAACCAGCTTTTAGTTTCATTGTCCTTTGCTATTGTTTTCTTCGTCTCTATTTCATTTATTTCTGCTTTGATCTTTATGATTTCTTTCCTTCTACTAAGTTTAGGTTTTGTCCTTCTTTTTCTTTAGTTGCTTTAGGTGTAAGTTTAGGTTGTTTATTTGAGATTTTTCTTGTTTCCTGAGGTAAGATTGTATTCCTATAAACTTCCCTCTTAGAACTGCCCTTGCGGTGTCCCATAGGTTTTGGATTGTTGTGTTTTCAGTTTCATTTGTCTCTAGGTATTTTTTGATTTCCTCTTTGATTTCTTCAGTGATCCATTGGTTGTTTAGTAACATATTGTTTAGCCTCTATGTGTTTTTGTTTATTATAGGTATTTTTCTGTAATTGATTTCTAATCTCATAGCATTGTGGTTGGAAAAGATGCGTGATACGATTTCGGTTTTCTTCAGTTTACTGAGGCTTGATTTGTGGCCCACGATGTGATCTATCCTGGAGAATGTTCCATGTGCACTTGAGAAGAAAATGTAATCTGCTGCTTTTGGATGGAATGTCCTATAGATATCAATTAAGTCCATCAGCTCTAATGTGTCATTTAAGGCCTGTGTTTCCTTATTGATTTTCTGTCTGGATAATCTGTCCATTTATGTAAGTGGGGTGTTAAAGTCCTCCACTCTTATTGTGTTACTGTTGATTTCTCCTTTTATGTCTGTTAGCATTTGCCTTTTATGTTGAGGTGCTCTTGTGTGCATATATATTTATAATTGTTGTGTCTTCTTTGTAGATTAGTCCTGTGATCATTATGTAGTGTCCTTCTGTGTCTCTTATAACAGTCTTTATTTTAAAGTCTCTTTTGTCTGATATGAGTATTGCTACTCCAGCTCTCTTTTGATTTCCATTTGCATGGCATACCTTTTTCCATCCCCTCACTTTCAGTCTTTATGTGTCCGTAGCTCTGAAGTGGGTCTCTTGTAGACAGCATATATATGGGTCTTGTTTTTGTACTCATTCAGCCAATCTTTTGGTTGGATCATTTAATCCATTCACATTTAAGGTAATTATTGATATGTATGTTCTTATTGCCATTTTGCTAATTGTTTTGGATTTGTTTTTGTAGGTCTTTTTTCTTCCCTTCCTCTTTTGTTCTCTTGTGATTTGATGACTATCTTTAGTGTTGTATTTGGATTGCTTTCTCTTTTTTGAGTGTGCATTGTAGATTTTTGGTTTGCGGTTACCATGAGGTTTTGATACAACAGTGTTTATATATACTAGATTGTTTTAAGTTGCTGGTGTTTTAATTTCAAATGCATTTCCAATGTCCTGCATTTGTACTCTTCTTTTTCTCAAGATTGCTGGTTTTGATATTACATTTGTGTGTGGATGATTTCCTACCTTTACTGTATGTTTGCCTTTGCTGGTGAGCTTTTCCATTTGTAGTTTTCTTGTTTCTAGTTCTGGATTTCTCTTTCCACTTAGA